GGTGAAAGCACACGCGCGGGCAGGATGTATAACGCAAGACAAATAGAGAGCATCATTGCGAAAGGGAATGCAGCAAAATAATCGTTTTATTTTGATTACGCTGTTTTTCGGAATCGCTGCAAGCCAAAATCTTAATCGAGATTAAAATACGATTAATTGCAGAGCCCTATTACACATTGTGCAATAGCCCTTGCAATAGTCAGTTAAACACATGGCTAGGTTTCCCTAAAGTTAACTGGTAATGTAGCACACAGCAAGAGACCTGTTGCTGTGGTTATCTGCCGTTGAATAAACCTCTTACAATGATAATGGTTCATCCGTTTACCAGAACAATGTTTCACATGTCCTGGTATATGATTTTACTGGAAATTATATATGACACGTCACATGTTCTCTACTTTTCTGTAACATACAGTAGGAAAGGATACGAGGACTGTATGGTCAGTCTGATGGTTAAATGATCTACAAAACAATGTTTTCATTCTTTTTACTCTGCCTCTATCATGATGTCAGAAGAAACAAAGATCATTATAAAGGAATGTGTATGTGTTTTAAAAAATGGATTATATATTATAAATGGAAATTACTTGATTAATTGATTATTCAATCCACAGGTAATTCCTCAGGTACTATTTTTGTTCTTTGTTTACTTTGCAGCTTCTACAAAGTGAGAAATAGCTTCCCTTTTGTTTTATATCACTGTAAAATGAATATCTGTTAGTGAGACAAATCATATCAAGAAACCACTTGAAGAGTGGAAACTGGAATTGGAAGTGAAAAATGTTTGTCCAGTATTTTCTGATGTTTGAAAGATGAAACGATTCATCGAGAAATTAGCCAACAGACTCATCGATAAGGGAAATTCTTAAATCAAGGTCTTTGTAATCAATTTCTTAAAGTCAATAATGAATCATTTTAAAAGTACAAAAACACAGAATGCTGACATTCAGGAAAATAGATGTTTAATTCCTGAGGCATTTAAAAATTACATGGACAAGGTTTTTTGATGACTCTGATTTGACACAGCCTGATGAAGATGTTTGTTGGATAGAAACATCGCACAACAGCTGGGAGCTTTTAATAGAGAGTGCAGGGCTGCATTCGAATAGTCCGTTTTGCTTAGGAACCTTCCTAACGGAGTGAAATGACCCGGAAGTACCTCAGTGGCAGCCATGATAAGAGCCGTTAAAATTCTCAGTCTAGATGATAGGAAAGGAGGTTTTCAAACTTCCTTTATAACCTCCTTTAGATGAGTTTACAGTAGTCCGTCGTTCTTATTATAAATCCATGTTGTAGTCCACTGTATAGAAAACTGTAGTTTTTCCACAGCAGACGCATATTCATGACGTCCGCTGGCGCATCATAAATACGTCGGGTAGTAAAAGTGAAGTCGGATTCTCAAAGCACCGCAGGTCTCTTCTCTTAAATCCTTTTGAATTCTCCTATCCACTATTCCTTAACCCTGTGACATTTCACACAGAGGTCAAGGAATAGACGATAGGAGCTGATTTTTTGACTATTTGACTGCAACCCAGACCTTTGTCTGATTCTTGGCTTTGAAAATATGGCATAACAGACTTTTTCCCCCATGTATTGTAATTAGGATCCAACCTTATTTTTACTACCCACAAGACAAGCGTAATTGTGTCACCCCACAAATAATGCATCACTCCATTCACACTAGAGCTCTGACAAACAAACCTTAAATAATGTTTTATGCTTGAATACTGGGCACAAAAATAACAAAAAAACAGAAACCGTTATCAGTTAGAAACGGTGTGATGGGGGAAGGTAATAGGTGTATGAGTGAAGGAAAGGGTCGGGGACTCAGAGAGAGAGAGAGGGGGGGGTGTGGCGTTAATATTCGCCCATCCACAAGTCATCCTGCTTGGTAGTGGGAACCACTGACTGGCTCCTTTCACCTCTGCTGACCAAGAACAAAAGTATCATTCATTTAAAAATGGGTTGAGGGCACCAATGGTGAAGCCGGCAAGCTCCACCAGCAGAGTGTAAGACCCCTGACAAACAACCTCCTTTTCCTTTATATCTCAACCTTGTGCACTTTGTAAAAGGATCTAACACTATAAGGATGTAATTTGGAAAATATCCCTCTTGCTCACAATGCAGGAGAAACGCAGACACTGTACCAATAACTTGTGGCAGGTAAACTACATACCTTTTCAAGGAGTGTTTGCTTTGTTACTGGCTGAGGGGCCTCCTCTTTTCTCTCATCTGCTTTTCTGTGACAGCACCGTTTCCATTACAGTTGCCAACATTCAAGCCCCTGTGGGCTGCAGGTAAGAGTCCATTCCAAAATTGTCACATGATTTATTGTAAAATGTGTGGATTTCCATAAGACATACGTTTGTTTTTCTAAAGCAAAAGTTAAATTAACAATAGAGAATCAACAAATACATTCATATGTTTCTTGTAATGAGGACTTCTTGACCTTGGGCAAAGATAAGCTTACAAAAACAAACTTGCATTTCTGTTTTTTTTTTTTAAATCATTTGTCGTATCATACCTTCTTTACTGTTCCTAGGCTATATTTTTTTTAGCCTTACAACATATTTTCAACACATGATGTCTGCAAACAAAAATGTATGTTTAGTTTAAATGTGGCAGACACAAAACACTGATATATAAGCTTTTTTCTTTAAACATCAGCATAACATTGTGGGAGCATTAGCTCTGAGAAAAAGGAGCCCTTGCAGCTGCAATATGTCTCACTAATCCATCATGATCCCTAACCCCAGTGCTCCACATACAAAAGATGGAGGGAGTGGGAGAGGACAACTTAGGTTCAAGAGACCAGGAGAACAAATGAGAGAAGGACAGAGAGAGGGACAGACAACCTTTCACATACTTTTAAGAGGTTGAGGCTAATACATGAGGCAGTTCAGTGCGTAAAACCTGTCACAGAGCATTTAGATAAATGTGCAGAGCAGATAGAAGAAAACAACATACCGTTTTTCTATTTATGCATAAAAAGGCCAGTAGAGTGGTAGTAAGGGCTGCAATATCATTTTAAGAAAACATTGCTTCATGTTGCGATTGAGATGTCCGACTGCACATAAGAAAAACTATTTATCTAGAAGTGTGACATGAGTATGGAGCTTGGCATATGAAGCCACTGTTTAATTTACCCAACACTTCCCTAACAATAGTGATTTAAAGCGCCACAATCGCTTCTAATGTAGCATGGCTTTGTCCACCATTCTTACAAGGTGGCAAAAAAGGAACACAGAGGTTTTCCCACACAGGGATAAAACGTAACACTTTGAGGCAAGGTTACATTGGAATAAGCTTAAGGTTAACTTATTAACAAAATAGCACATTTTAATTTAGACGAGTGCGTGTAACCTTAAAATCATAACCTCTTGTATTCATTCTTTGTGAGGGAGCAAAGTAATTAGAAAAGCCACACTAAATTGCTGTTTTCAATGCCGTTGCAGAGGTGGTTACTTAAGTTTATGAGTTTATCATTAACCCAGAGGTTGTGAAACAAACTCAGGCGTTTCTTCATGGGGCAATCATCAACTGTATCTCTGCACCCACCCATAAAAGATCTGACCTAACCTGCTGCACATTTTGTCCCATTTCAAAAAAATTAAATGAGCTCATACACAAAGCAGTACTTAACTCTTAGTCGGACTAAATCAAATAATGGAACAAGCTTGATTCTTGATTATGTTGTACTGAACATAATGTTGGCTACAGTCCACTGAGCATTACTCATGTAAATTGGGCTCGATTGTGACCTCAGCACTCAGTTCATTACCTGGTGGTTAAGTCACATTGCATTTCCTAACCAACTTCTAGGCGGAAAGAAAAGCATTACATGTTTAACTTTTTATCCAGCAAGGGATTGTTTTTAAAAAAAGCTATTTTCATGGTCCCTTTAATGTGTTAAATTAAAAAGTGTTTCAAGTACCAATGTTTGAATCGAATATTTTTACAGACTTGAGAGTTTTTGCCATAGACAATATCTAAATCATTCATAGTATTTATATTCAGAACACATACATCTGACAATACAACCTGCTCAAGGACAACACGTAAAAAAATATGTATGAGTGATGGGGTCACAAAAGGGCTAACCCATATCATGTCAATCATAAAAACATCATAAAACATATCAAGAGCTGAAACAACTTGTTGATCAACAACAACTATCTGCAACAATTCAGAGAATTTATTAATTCTTTAGTCTTTAATCAAACTAAAACATTCAAAATGCACTCAGACTCTTAAATGTTAAATATAATTGTAATTGCAAATGATTTAGGACTGCATGTACACGGGACCATGGCTCTGGAAAAAAGTAGTAGACATGTTTGACTATTTTGAAATGTTATAGACTAAATGCCTCAACTAACGCTATTTTCAATATCAATCAACATGGTTATTGTGTTCACTGTTAATTACTCAGTCTAAAAATTGTCAAAAAGTAGTGATACAGGTCCATTATCATTTCCTGGAATCATTGTAACAAAACCAAAAAAAAAACCTTGAACTTTTCGGTCCACTATTATATATGACAAAGAAAATAATCAATCTAAATTATCAAGATTCTGTTACCAGTTTCTAAGTGATTAAATGATACATCTTATGATTGTCTAAACTTTAAAACGGATCGACTGAAAATGCAGCCTATAGACAATAATAGCATCCCTAAATTAAACATGTCATTTCACAACATGAGCAGAAACTTTTGGGCTGCAAAAGAAAGTTTGTGACAAGTTGTCAAGAACTTTGTCACCTAACTCTTAGGTATAACACATTAAATAAAGATTAGAAACTCTGCTTTTCCGTACATCATCATTAGGATTTTTTTCTCTGGTGGGCCAAACGTCAACCCCATGATGTTGAATGCCCAATTATTCACTTGTGATGTAAACACAACACAATCCAATACTTAGGCCTTTACAGTGGGGCATGTATAGTGCACAGACATGTTGTGAGGTTGTTGTTCCCTGTGGATGTTGGTCAGTACTTACAGGTAGTAGGTGAAAGTATTGAGCCCGGTCGGGACGGTGGTCAGCCCCCTCCCGGAGCAGTCTGCACCCCCATCTTCATCGCAGCTGCATGAGGGCGAGCACACGGCCGTCGACTCTCCTTGACCGGTGGCACCAGGGCGAAGGAAACACCACAAACATATCCAAAACAAGTCCACACGCATTTTCTCCTCGTCGTTTCAGGTGAAAGCGATAAAAAGGAGGCCTTTCTTTGTGGTTTAATCTATTCCGGACGTCGACTTCTCATGTGGTTGGTCGGTTGAGGCATGAAGAGATGAAGGCTAACCGACGCTTTTCACACAAAACAAAATAAAACGTCCGAGCACTTCATACATTCACAAGCCAAAACAACAAATATCCACGTTAGGGTTTTAGCTAGCGTTAACAACCAAACATTGTCTCCGAAGACGAGTGTTGTACCTTGCAGTGAAACATTTCTCAACCCCCCGTGTGTCGTATTAGTCCATGAAAATAAAGTAGCAGAGCTGGTGGCGACAAGAGCGGTAGCCTACCTTGCGTTTTTTGCGTTTTCGCTGTCCCATTAAATAATCAACAAAAGAAATAAAGCCCAAACCAGCAGTGCCTGCTAATGCGTCGCTAACAGGCTGATCTGGTCGCGGGGAAATGCTCAGCTAAACACACCGGGTTTGTTTCCTAACAGGAGATCACCGACAGTTTTCAGCCATTCCTCACGTTCCCCTCCTCTGCTCCTGACATCAACAGCATGCTTGTGGCTCTGCAGGCACCCTACCGGACAACCTGCAGCACTGGGCCTGTGCAACACTCAGACCTGCACCACAACGTCACTGCTGCCATCCGCTGCAAACTCACCAGCCGGGGGGAAGAGGCAGGTAAAAGTTACACAACTATGGAGACCCAGTTTAGTTCCAGAGAAACGTATCAGTTCATTTCCTGTTAAACACTCCTGTTTGCCCTGTTTCAAAAGCAGCGGGGGTGGGAGTTGTAGCTACTCAGGTCCTTTGATAAAAAGTATTAATACCACACTAATAGTGGAAGGAGGCAAAGGTTATTCATACATTACATCCATAGTTTCTCTTTGAATAAAATCACACTGTACATTTTACATTTGTATATTCAGTTTAATATGTAATATTACATATGTCACATAATTATGTATAATACCGTTATAGTTCATTTGTAAATTCAACATGTATATTCTCTACTTTCTGGTTTATTTCTTGTCTTTTAATTTGTATTGTACAATGTCATGTCTTTTTATGCTGCTGCAACACAAACATTTCCCAAATTGGGATCAATAAATTACTATCTTATCTTATATTTTGTGATAAGCAGCATTTATGTCTAAGCATAACAACAATCAAATAAACAAAGACATGAGTAAAAGTAGCAAAATGTTTTTGACCTTTCAAAGTTAATTTTACAGACTTAAATTGATGATATGGGGTAAAATAATAAGCAATATTCAGCTGGTATACATTGCTATATGTGACTCATTTAAACACACAGGCAATGCATCACATTTAATTGTGTTTATACATATTTTTTATGTAAAATCTTTTTTTTGACGAGTAGCAGGCAATAGCCTAAAATATAAAAGAAAAATAAGGGAGAATAAAAAAACATTATAGCCAAATTATGTGTTTAACAATAATAATAATAATAATAATAGCTTAGATTTCATGGGACCCAAGGACGCTTTACAAGGAAGTTTAAGACACAAAAGAAAGGTGTGTGGGTTGGAAACAAGCACAAGTTATTTTACTTTATGCTACAGTTAACCAGTTAAGCCACGAGCCTGTTTTTCAGGTCTCAGGCTCGAAAATCACATTCCCAGAACACTTTGAGAAGCGAAGACTAAATCTTCACTTCTAAAAGTGTTAAATTAATAATCTTTTTTCTCAAAGCAATGATAAACCTGTGAGTTGGATGTAGAAAAGTCAGAATCAATATAGAATTTTTTTATTTTAAAGTAAATTCAGATTGAACTAAAACATTTTAAATAATAATAATAACTTGGATTTATATAGCGCCTTTCATGAGACCCAAGGTTGCTTTACAAAGAAGAACAGGCGTAGAAACAAACATAACAAAAACAAAAGGTAGTCAGACAAACAGTTAGACAGACAAAACAACAAACAGATTAGGGGCCAAAGGCCTTGGTAAACAGATGGGACTTGAGGGCCCTTTTGAAGGCGTCAAGCGTGGGGATGTTGCAGATCTCTGCAGGGAGAGCGTTCCAGAGGGTGGGGGCTGCCATACTGAAGGCTCTGTCCCCGAAGGTTCGCAGGTTGGTTCTGGGGGTGGTAAGCAGGCCAGAGTCTGAAGACCGCAGGTTCCGGGGTGGGGCATGTGGAAAGAACAGCGAGCCAGCTAGCAGCTAGCACCATTAGCCTGGTAGAAACCGGACCTCGAACCTCAGCAGCGGTGATGGAAAACAGCCCAGTTGAGATGGCAGGACTGAGGGAGGGTTCGTGGATAGTCCTGGGAGCGTGGCAGAGAGGAGCCCTGTCGGGGTATTCCGGAACGGGGATTCCACGGATAGCAGAGCACGACGGTGAGCTCGTTTTGCTAATGGCAGGACGCCAGAGGCTAGGAGCTAAACAGCAGACAAACATAATCGGCCGAGCAACGGAGATGGCAGAAACACAAAACCAGAGCAGAACAATCTTTTTGCTGTGTATGTGAAAAAAATTGACAGCAGGGAGTGATAGACACGAGGAATAAGCGTCGGCATGAATAAATTATAGTTTCCGTCCACAAAAAAAACATTACTTATAGTGAAAACCACCCTTGAATGATGGGATAGTAGTCTAAAAGCTTAGGAATCCAAACTATAACATATAATAAGTACCCTGTATCAAGATTGATGCAAAACAAGTGACATTTGACCTTTCATAGATATTTAAGAAAAAAAAAACACTTCTGGGGTCATTTTGGTGCATTTTCCATATCTCTGGAACCCATCGGTCGATTTTGATGATTGACACCTCTTTTTAACCGTTAGAGCATTGGTGAATTAGTGATGCGTAGCCAGAATGCCCAAAACCGGAAGCTGTCACTCTCGTAGCTATCATAGCAGCTATATATGAAAACTCCGTTATTGACATAAATATGATGATGAATTATCAGTAATCATTTAAAAGTGACGCAGACACATTGGATTAACCTTCAGCAGCGTTTTTATCGTTTCAATGCCACTGAACACAACTTTTGATCAGAAAACAGCAACGGTAAGACTTATTTTCCATTTTGGTCCCGTAAAGCTACGTTGTGTGTTGTCTGGGTTTGCTTCCCCTGCCGCGAGTTTTGATCGCTCAGTGGTATCCGTGGAATCTCAGCTTGCTAGCTTATATCTTGTTTGTGCAGATCCGATAAGTAATAAGGTATCTCTACCGTGAGTTCTGTGCTAAGTGCGTTAGCATTTTTTCGCTCAGGGCTAATTCAGAGCCTTTGGTATTACCCTTGTGTTTCGTTTAGCTAAAAATTGTTAATATTGTCTGATAGCTGAGTTTCTTCCCGTTAAGTGGGTATGACACATTCATAGTTTGTTAAATGTTAAGAAGCCCTCAGACGCTGTTTCTTGCAAGAAACAGCGTCTGAGGGCTTCTTAACATTTAACAAACTATGAATGTGTCATACCCACTTAACGGGAAGAAACTCAGCTATCAGACAATATTAACAATTTNGGTGTTGTACTTGAGTAAAAGTAGAAGTACCAGAGTGTAGGAATACTCTGTTACAGTAAAAGTCCTCAGAGCTCTCAAGTCTCACGCAATTGGCGTGAGACACACGCATTTCACTCCATTCACACGCCACACCTTGTATTTCTCACGCAGAGATTTTCTCACCCAGAGATTTCTTTCCAGGGTACCGCCCACCAAGTTGCGCCGCAATTTTGTAAACAGACTAGGCGTGTTTGAGACGCGTGCACTCCACTAGCCCCCCCCGTTGACATTCGCGATACAGAGGGCTTCATGGGAACTTTGAGGGGAGCCAGAAGTTGGAGTACCAAACACCGCTGCCAAAATCTCACGCTGAACTCTGTTCAAAACTTGAGAGCCCTGTGTTTAGCTCAGCATCAGCTATGTAATGTTAACTTAGCTTGCTACTAGCTTTGTAACTGAATATTTGAAAAGATGAGTGAATGTTTGCTTGTCACACTTGTTTGCATTTAGCTAAAGTGTGAGGTTTTTCCTCATATTGCATTGCAATAGCCTGTTTAAAGTGATTATATAACAAACAACTAATCAGTACTGATACTGTATGCTAATAGATATAGGAGTGATAATAATACAGTAAATGCTTTGAACTTCTTAGATATAGCTGTGCAGTATTCTTAACAGACTGGATAGCAGCAGGCAATAGAAGGCTTATTACAACCAGAAGAGACATGAGACTTTTATTTTTTAGAGACTTGAGACTTGACTTGGACTCGTGACCAAAGACTTGAGACTTGATCAAGTCTCACCCCACAAAGACTTGAGACTTGACTTGGACTCGTGAACAAAGACTTGAGACTTGACTTGGACTTGCAAAAAAAGACTTGTGAACATCTCTGCTCCACACTACGGTGCTGTGTACCGGAGGAGAGACGCGAGATACGGCTGATACTTGACGATCTGGCGGAGAAAGGTTGTGGAGCCTCCGTTGATATGCCGTTGTAAATGGCTTGATGGAAAGCAGGTGTGTAGTCGGGGAGGGTGCACAGCTGATTGCAGCAGGTGAGTGGAGGTTGAGCCGGGAGCCAGGAGTGACAGCCACCACGCACACACAAACAACACAGACAGGGGGAAAAAAACAAACACAAAGGAGACGGCTGGAGCAGTACAGCCACCACAGCGTTACCTAATGCAACTCCACACTACGTCTTACGGTGCCATGTACCGGAGGGGAGAGAGAGAGAGAGCAGCGAAGGGGGGGGAGAGAGAAGTAATACGGTTTCCTGATAAAGCTGTGGAGAGTATGTGCTGCAGGGAGGTGGGTGCACAAGGCACCCAGGAACGAACGCTAGCTCCGGTCCTTTTTACTGTGGACTCGATGTCCTGACAGGCTGGTATTTGTGCAACCTGCACAAACACAATACTGCACCATGATTACAAATGGTGAAATACAATGTAAAACTACCGAAAAATACCAGCTTACTAAAACGCAACCGCTCAACTCAACGCAAGTACTAACTATACCCGTGGTCAGAGAGCGGAGATGTTTACCCTTTGTGATGTAATATGACCCGTTTGACGTATGACCTTAAAAAAAAGCAGTTTTTAAGAGCAGAGCTCAAAATTGCTCCTTTCCCTCTGAATTCCTGCCCTTATGTCTCGTAAAACATATAAAATCCTACATTCACTTTTTTATAGTAATTTTCAAGCAAGTTTAAGCATAAATGTAGAAACAAAAACAACCTGTAAGATGCTCTTTAAAGGACCACTGTGTAGAATTCCATGGCATCTAGCGTTGAGATTGCAGGGTGCAACCAATTCAATACCCGTCCGCTCATCCCTTCCTTTTCAAGTATATATTATTATATATATTATATTTCAAGTATATATATTTGAGGACTTCAGGTTACTTGAAAACGCACAAGTGCCTCTCTTGAGTTTGGTATGTTCATTCCGGGTTACTGTAGGAAGTTTAAAGGAGAAGTTTAAAAGGAAGATGGCTGTGTGTAACCACCTATCTTTGTGATATGAAACAGTTTTTCTGAGATAGAGAAGCCTATTCCAATAAGACCCACACACTTGTCCTTAAAGGTCTCCTATCATGCAAAATGCACTTCTTGATGTCTTTTATACATAAATATGTGTCCCCGGTATGTCAGTAGACTCACAAAGTGTCCAAAAATACAACCCTTTCTCTCTTCCTCCCTGCCCACATCTCTAAAAACGGGGGTACAACAGAGTTGATCCAGATTTGCTGCCGATAATAGAAAATGTGGGCTGGCTTTACGCCCATGGCCCAATGCGCAACGTTTTGGAAGTAATTTGGTCTGTGTTTACATTAGCAAGCATGCTAACACTCAGAGCTAACGCTGTACTGGAGAGAGCATGTGTAAAAAAGCAGGATATGAAAAGGTACTCACCTTGTGGTAAACCCGTGAGAGAAAAAGCATTTGAGCTCCATACTGTTTCAGAAAGAATCATTGATGTGGTTTGGAACATAATATGGTGTTTAATCACAGCAGTGTTTAGCTGAGTATCTCGGTAGAATTCTTCTCCATGAGCTCTCGTCCCGGCTCTCTTTTTTTTTTTTAAAGCTCCGAGCTACTTCTCGGAACCTCTCATAACAGGGCTGAAATAGAGGCATGGCTAGAATGGGTGATCTGTTTGGTATTTTGAGCAAAACACTTATAGTATAATAGGAAACCTTTAAACAGTTCAAAAATATACAACCATGCTGTTTAAAATGTTTATTGTTTTTACTTATTTACTGCATGTTGTTAGCTAGTAAACTAGTCACCAAGACACTATAGAGTCACCTGGATTAGAGCCCAACTGTTTTCAAAGTTGTACGAGGACTGTAGACGAGCTGTGTGCAGTAACTAGAAATGGATTTTGATGTCAAATATATTACTTGGCAAATTCTTTAAATTAACTTGTAATATTTTCAGTAATGTGAATAATACGCTTGAGCTTCTGGGCCTTTTAAAAAGAAGATCTCGGTAGATGCCACAAATTCCTTCCCTATTAAAGAGGGATTTGCCTCAGGGTGCTGATTTGACTCTCCATGATTGATAACATACTGTAAACCACCCAACTGATGTGTGGCTCATAATCCAATCCCAGTTTCCATATGCTGCGGGTTCGCCATACAGTATGCCTATGGCCTGTCTGGTTGATTTCCCTTTTCCCTATGCACCATTGATTATCTCACAATGTGAAGGGTGGAGACGCTGGGTGTTAGGTGCTGCAATAGTTTTTGTAAGTGATGTGTTAAGCAGAGCACATGCAGTGAATGTGGGTGTTGGAGATGTATATACAGTATGGTGTCATTGTTGTGTCTTTCCTCATGTTATGCCTGCAGTCATCACTTAACTATTAAGCACATCTTTCAAATGTATTGACAAGTGTGCATCCTAACCCTAACCCTAACCCTAACCTTGGTTGGTTATTGGCTAATGGTTACACAAGCCAAACAAAATTATGACATCATAAAGTGGCCAAAATCTGATCAGCTCATTTTCAGACAGGTTTTTATATAAATACGGTAGATCAGGAGAAAAAGAGAGCACATTTTTTTCCCCTGGAACTTTCAGAATCTCTTTACACAGAGGGAACACATGTTTATGTATAAAAGACATAAAAAAGTGGATCTTGCATAATAGGTGACCTTTAAAGAAAAAATGTTTATGCAAAGGAACAGGAGAAAATCTAAATGTAATCATAAACACAAATAACATCTGATTAGAAAGTTCAGCACTATGAGCTTAGCAATGGTTGAGTATGTTGTTGTAGTTATACAATATAAATGATTTACTGACATTTTGAAGACAAATATCTTAAATGTATCCCATAACATGTAACCTCTGATATATCCAAAATATTTATTTGGTATATTCTTTGCTTCTCATTCTGCTGGTCCTTTTGACGGCTACATCACCAAGCTGTTTGCCAGACGTCATGTCAGCCCTGCGCTGGACCGCTGGATATAAACAGCTCTCCGTTGACAGGATATACAAATCATTTGTGAGGTCCTTGATGTAAAAAACCCTCATGATAATGTGCTTTTTTTAAGGGATTTGAAATAAAAGGTTATTCCCAAGAGTTAAAAAAAGTTGCATTTGGCTGTTAAACTAATTGTATCAACCCCCCAAAAAACCGAGACATAACTAAGCATGGAAATTACCATCATGTATTTCCATCATAAAGTTCAAAGCCATTATGACACACATTGCTGAGCTTTGTCTTATCTTCAGGTTTGTAGCAATGTAAAACACAAGCGATCAATGCCTTCTTAATCATAGCAAAAAGGTTAACATGTTAGTCTGCAATGTTATGGATTCGGTATATAACATAGTGGTTCACACAGTAGGTCGGTCTTTCTTTAGAACTTTAGAATTCTTTACAACAAGATTATTTTTGCTTCAAGCATCGGTAATGTGTTTCCTGTGTATTGAACAGAAAGGATGTAATAGGTACAAACAATAAGCAATCCTGGTTTAGGGCATAATGTGTCAGACCTAACATTCTTACTTTGGCTTGTAGTATTTCGTTGGAACCCCCATTGACCTGGCATGTACAAATATCTACTTGTACTTACCTAATGTGATCTCCACTGAATTATGTACATTGTGTTAGAAATTTAAAATCAATGTTTTGATGGTATAATGTAGTTTAAACATACTGTCAAGTTAAATGCTCTTTTATACTGAAAAACCAGAAATTCTTGTGCACAAGCAGTTAAGCTTTTATTCTGAAAATCCTTCATCTACGGTTAGCATTTAGCATGTGGCTAATATACGATTTCCTAAAGAGGTGAATTGAGGTGAATTGAGTAGCGAAATGACATGGTGTGGTGAAAACCGAAACCTACTGATTTAACACTACAACTATAGATGTCAAGATACTACCATGCTGAATATTAAATAAAAGTACAGTTTATTTGAATACACTATTGTTTACAGACGAGAGTAGCATGTGACAACATCCGGAATGACCGGAAACCAAACCAGCCGTGAAGTATTTTCTGTATGTTTTAGAGTATTGATTACAGCGTTTAGAATGTGTTACATGAAAAGTGATGAAAGAGAATATGAGGAGAAAAGGCGTGTTAAGCATATGTTGAATGTGAAAAGTACCAATCCTCTGTTTAAATGCAACAACGGACATTGAGGCGAGGCGAGCCGGCTGGCGGGGAGGAGCCAGCAGAGGATATATAACGGCACAGGACGGGGGATTCGCTCTTCTCTTCTTGCTCATGAGAGCCAGATCACAGATGTTTTCTGCCGGAACAATATTCTGTCTGTAACACTACCGCGCCTTTTTTAATTCAAGTATCCCAGTTGAATCTTTTCAGAGACTCCATTTAGTCTCATTTTAAAGCTTCTCTCCTGGACACGAGAACAAAGAACATATTTAACAATTGTCAAGCTCCCTTTCCAAGAATACACCCAGTCAATAATCCTATGATATTTAACCAGTTAAGCCCGATGCCCCCAGTACCGGGGACAAAACGCAACATCTTGCAAGAAACAGCGTCTGAGGGCTTCTTAACATTTAACAAACTATGAATGTGTCATACCCACTTAACGGGAAGAAACTCAGCTATCAGACAATATTAACCATTTTTAGCTAAACGAAACACAAGGGTCATACCAAGCCTCGGAATTAGCCCTGAGTGTAAAAATGCTAACGCACTTAGCACAGAACTCACGGTAGAGATACCTTATTACTTATCGGATCTGCACAAACAAGATATCAGCTAGCAAGCTGAGATTCCACAGATTCTAGGGGTAGAAGTGTCGACACTGAGCGATCAGAACTCAAACGCAGACATCACACAACGTAGCTTTACGGAGCCTAAACGGAAAATATGTCTTACCTTTTGCTGTTCTGATCAAAAGTTGTGTTCAATGGCATCAAAACGATAAAATCGCTGCTGACGGTTAATCCATAGGTTAATCCAATGTGTCTGAAATGATTACTGATAAATTATAATCCATCTTCATATTTATGTCAATAACGGAGATTTCATATTAGCTGCTACTAGAGTGTATGACAGCTTCTGGTTTTGGGCCTTCTGGCTGCGCAGCACTCATTCACCAATGGGTAATGTTTAGATGGATTTTAGGAACTTCCCCTCAATGCTATTGGCTCTAACGGTTCAAAAGAGATGTTAATCATCCAAATCGCCCGACGGGGGTTAGAGATATGAAAAATCCACCCAAATGACCCCAGAAGTGGGTTTTTTGCTAAATCTCTCTAAAAAGGTCAAATGTCACTTGTTTTGCATCAATCTTGATACAGGGTACTTATTATATGTTATAGAGCTTTTAGTCTACTGTCCCATCATTCAACGGTGGTTTTCACTATAAGTAATGGTTTTTTTTGGACAGACACTATCATTTACTTTTTTTTTTTACTATGTTCAATCTGAATTTACTTAAAAATTAAAAAAAATCTATGTTGATTCTGTTTTTTCTAATTCCAACTCACAAGTTTATCATTACTTTGAGAAAAAAGATTATTAATTTAATCCTTTTTAGAATTTCAGGGCATGTCGTTTTCAAACCTGAAAAACAGGCTCGGGGCTAACTGGTTGATTAAAATGACTTCTGTGAAAGCCTTACACACTAAACGCCTCGCAGTCAAGAGAACAGAGTTAATTGAATTACTGTTCAGCAGCTGCAGGAAGTGCTGAGTGTTCGGGCGTCACATTTATATTCTCCCTGATGTTCTCCTCAGGCTCTGATGAGGACGCCTCTGAGCTCAGCCAGAATTTACCACCAACCCCTCAGAAGGAGGGGAAAGAGGGGGAGGAGGGGGAGCTGAAGAAGCAGGAGATGTTGGTGCAGTACCTGAAAGACACGGAAACCTTCGCCCTACTGGTGGAGAGAGCGATAGCTGTCATCAACACCATGCTCTACTTGAAAACCACTTCAGGTACAAGGCAATATTCATCAAAGGGCAAACTTCATTTTTCAGTAAAGAATCACATTTGACAGTTGTAGTTATTGGCTTGTGCTATTAAGTAAACACACATCAAACAGGCATGAGACAAAATATATTGACATGTTGCCCAGTGATGAGATCAAGGCGAATACGAGCTGACTGAATGAGAGCTGGGTTCCTCTTTGCCTCGACCGGCAGGTAATCTTGGCAGTGCAGAGAAACGTTCCTGCTCTGCTGTAAGGGCCTGCCTACAGTGACCCAGCTCAACCCCAATGATTCCTCTAAAGTCAGAGAGGAGTAATCACAGGGAGGATGCTGACAGTGGGAGTGGTTGTTTGTCTGTGTGTGTGTGTGTGTGTGTGTGTGTGTAGGAGGCAAGGAGGTCACCCAGCCCTCTCAGACCTTCAGTCAGCAGTGAGTTGCATCTTTGGTAATCTGAGGGCAGAGTTTAGGACACAAAAGTAATGCCCAAATAGTTCCAACACAAAAGCTTATTCTTGCCCTGAAACTAAAATGTTTTAAGGATTTAACGCGAAGGCAGAAAGCAAATTTAATTTTAATTTTTCAGTCAAGAATCCCATTTGACAGCTGTAGTTTCTGGTTTCAGTGGTCCTGGAGGCGGTGCAGTTTTGTGTGACGGTGTGCGAGTTCAGCGTGGCCAACTCGCTGAGTGGCGTGAGGAAGATGTTGCCTCTGGTCTGGTCCACGGACGCCGCCATTAAAGATGCTGTCGTTCAGGCCTACAAGCGCCTGTATCTGAACCCTCAGGGAGAAAACATCAGGTCTGTCAAGCTGCCTCGCACGGCCCTAACATTGACAATTGAATGTGAAATATTGAATATAAATATGACTGTCTCTTAAGGGTAGCAGCAATGGTTAACATTAGGAACCATGGCTAAAACAGAACATGCAATGACATAACCAGAGTTTCCGCCCGTCAAAATATCCGTTAAAGTTGAAATCTTCCAGACAAAATGAGAAAAGTGCCGTTCAAAGGTCTTCTTTGTTATTTATTGAGCTTTAAAACAAATTGATATGATTCGATATCAAACAAACTCATTATAGTAGATTAACTACATTATTCAAAAGTGTTCAGTAACTTATAATAACACGGGAATAATAAACAGAGCGCTCTCTCCCTCTCCTGACAGCCCGCCAGTATCATGCAGCTGGCGGGTCAGTAATGAGTGACCCGACTTTCCTCTTCCCTCTTTCTCTGATCCTTATTTCCATCCTCACTTGCTGTCTGTCTCTTAGTTTGTCTACCCGACTTCCAATTTAGAGGTTACGCAGGCCTTTACTAATGAAGCACTATTAGGTAAAGGCAGGTATAAATACGTTTATTCCTCCAAAGTATATCGACGATGCTGCTGCATACTGTCAACCAAAACCCCGAAGACCGACGTTTCGTTGAGTAAGTGGGTTTACCTGTACAAAGTCTACCTAAAACTGCCTGAAGGGGAGTTACGATTAACCAGAGATTGCCGAATTTTTCTCCAAGGTTAGTTTTAGCTGGCTACCTAAAGGTCTCTATACCTCTTTACGTGGGTTAGCTGGGTTTTCCCAAAACTTATTTTAGAAGTTGTTGCAGTGTAGATACATGAGAAACGTAGTTAGAACCGTATGTCCCATGATTAATAATTCACATATAAACTTAAAGGATTTCGAAAAAATACAGGATGATAGGATGTTGGTAGGTAAGTTGCCACCAAAAAGTGATATTCAGTACTAACAAAAACCTGCCTGTGTTAGTAAATTCGAAAAAAATAGATCAAGGTTGAGACTAAATAGTTTATTTTTTTTTTAGAATATACCTAAGACTGACGAGATGTAGGTTAGAGTGTCCAAACTTGTACATGAACTCTTTTTTCTAATAAATTGAAAAAGGGGAAAATTTCACTTCAATGTCGGTAGAAAAAGTAAGCCTTCACAGGAAAAAGGCTCGGGCCTCCGGACTTTTTGTGCCTTGCGTTTAGACCAATGCTTGCTCGGCGAAGTATGAATTTACGTTTAATTTTGGAAACCTCCCAGACTTTTAAACTCACCTACGGCATTCCAAAGGAAAGCACACACTTGTATAATAAATGAGAGGTCAACAGCCAAAAAGACTCTTCGTCTTCCTGCAAGATTCGGAGTGTAACTTCTCTCGTACATACCTTTTGTAAAGAGAAAACAGAGTACGGGGCAAATGAATTATCGCGTGTTCGGTTAATGTATGAAGGTCTCAAAGAGATCATGGTTCTACAGGAGCGTAGACGAACAAAAATTATTAACTACGAAGGATCTTTCTTTATGGTCTATTATTGTTTATTGTTTTCGACTTGAGTGATAAAGGAGGTCCTGTGACCTACAAGGGTCTCTTTCGTAGCTGGTAGATTCGAGTACTCTCCGACAGCTGGTCTCACACACCGAAAGTGGGACTACTTTGTTCTAGTCAAATTTTGTGTCGCGATTTGTTTAGATAAATATCATCAAAATCCGAACGGGACGTAATGTCATAAACGTAAACGTCGTAGCATTGTTTACGTGTATGAGTGTATACTCCAATATAGGTTCAAAGGGGAATCGCTGGCCATTTTATACGACTTCTGCGTTTAGGTTTAGAGAGGCCAGTTGTTTTAAAGGGGAATCGCGTTATGGCGTAGGGCAACTAATGACACTGTTCTATTATGCATAGACGCTGTTTGTTCTTCTCAGTTAAGATGTACAGATTGTGATTACAAGCCTCGTTTCTCTAAAAAGACCCAACTACACGAACTAGACAACCATTACCGGGCCCCAAAGGCCACCGTACGATTTGTTTCACGTATTACGACGTGATATGAAACACCGGCCAACGTATCGCTGGTGAGATACACAAATCCACACGAAAATTATTCCGTCATCCCGGACTTGCTAATTAGTTAAAATTTCTTACGCTCTTCGACTTCTAACTACGCTAATAGTTTAGGTGTTTCGACGCTAAAAAAAAATTTTGTAGGAAAAAAAAAAGACACGACAGTCAGTAGGTGTGGTTAGACTTACACGACACGAGGGTGTAGAATGCGTCGGTAACAATGTTGTTAGTCCTTCACCGGGTACTATCTCCACTATCTGTCTAACCTACGGTTGAGTGGACGGTTCATAAACAACGTTTATGCAAAGTTACCAAAGTTACCATCGAAGGGATCTACCGACTTGTTTTGGTAGACATCCACGTTCCGAATCATTACGAGGTGTGTACAAACGATAATGCCCACTTAGAATTTGACTATCGTAAACTGAAATTTCGTTGGGTTGCCTTCAGTACATTCAAATCCAAGAAAGTGAGCATCGAGCCCGACGCCCCCACGTCTCTGCCCTCGTGCAGGGTGATGCGTGAAAGTCGAGCCTGCTATTGCCGGCGCGTGAAAAAGTGTTAGTGTTGAATGCGAACCCAGCGAGTGTGTGGTTGAGTGGTTAGCTTGTATAGACAAAGTCCCGGGTGTTTAGGCGTAATCTAAGAAGGTTTTTAGCACGGGTCGGGAGTTAGCTTCGTCCAGGCAGGATCAGTAGATGACTTATCGACCGGAGCGTAGCATAGCCTGTGCATGTGTGGCTGCACTGTCAGGTTAGGAGCCTGCCGTCGTGCTCTCGTCTCTAGTCGAGACGACTGCTCAGTTGTGCGTCGAGACGCTACTAGACGTCGCTCTCCACTGGTCTTGTTTTTGTGTCGTGCAGTCCAATCTTTATAGTGGTGCTCGATAAAATTTAATGGAGAGTTTGATGCATGATTAATATCTATACAAATCCG